CCCCCCCCCCGTTTTTGATCCCATTCCCCACTCCACCCCCACAAAATGACCAAAGCATTTTTGAAGGAAAACGTGTAGCCTCCAAATACATGTATTAGGAAGTGAAAAAGACCCCACATAAACAGTACATGCACTTCAGGTGAAGACAGAAAGTGCAGAAGGCCCGTGGTGATCGGGAAACAGGCCTGCGAAGTTAAGCCCTTTGCTCAAGGTCAGAAAGCGGTTATAGCAAATCTAGGATTTCAGAGCCGGTTCTGTCCCCCCCCACACACACCAGGCCATTGTTCAAAGATCTTAAGACTTAGGGAGCCGCACTTTTGACCTCTATTTTAAAAATTATTTCAAGTAAAGACACACTGGAACTACACAAGACAAATGTCTTCCTCACTGAACTCCCGGGTTGCTCACTCCTTGCACAAATCATATCTCTTACTCAAGAGCTGCCCCTCCCCAGGAAAGTGCCTTGCTACCTTGACCTGGGTTGAGGGAAATGGAGACTCACCCCCCGGGGACTGTTAGGTTCCTACCCCCCCAAAGTAGGAATCAAGGGAAGGGCTCAGGAGTGAGCAGGCCCCTATTGTCCTCCCCTGCCAGGAAATCATTTTGCAATCCTGACCCTCCCTTCCCCCTGCCTGGTTCAGGTTCAGGCCCTGTCGGGAAAAGGACATGGGTGGAGACTTCCCCAGGGCTGATGCCCCTACCCCCGGCCCAGATATAAGGCCCCTCTCCAGTCAAGGTAACTGGAGGGGAAAGAGAGAGAACACCATGTCCTCTTGGCGCCAAGAGCGAAACCAAAGGTAAGTTCCCACCCCACCCGCCTGGGCAGCCTGGATAGGAGCCATACAGGAATGCACCACACTCCACGGGGCCCTCTGCGATCAGCCATACGGTCTGCAGGCTCTAGCTCTGGACAGACACTCCCAGGCACACTGACTGCTGAAGCCCAGGTGAGCCACGGGCCAGGCAGGAAGTAAGAAGCCCCTGTCCCTGCCAGGGGGAGCAGAAGGAGCCGAAGCCCCAGCTGTACATGGGCCCCAGTGCCAACTGTAAGCCACCCTCTCCCAAGGTCAAATATCCACCCCCAGACCTGCCTGAAGCAGAAAGCACCTGAGTCCTATTCACACCCAGAGTTGCATCTGAGCGCTTTGGAACGAGCAAAATGGAGCGAGAACACCTATCCTTGTTTGATCAGGACTGGACAGAAGGAGCAGGAGCCCAGAGGGAAAAACCGTCAGCATTGTTTGGGATGGTCAGAGAAAATGTCATAGGAAAGGAAGCTTTGGAATTGGGGCTTTGCAGAATAAATAGGAGTTTGCTGGCTCTGCCTTCAAAACACAGAGGCAGGGACACAGAAATAAGGGAGGCCAAAGGAAATCAGCAAGATGGATCGCAAGTAAGTAATAGCTCTTTGGGAACAGATCGGTAATGGGGAAGGGTAGCATTTAGGGGTCAGACTAAGAAACTCAAATTTCATAGAATTAGAATGTCCCAGAACAGGGGCTACATCCGGCCACCTTGGGCAGGTGAGACTAGCGGTCAGGAGAGGAGGAGGTGACTGCAGGAGTCCAGGCGAGCAATGTCGTGTTGAGTCCCACAGGACGCGAGAGTCCAGGGGGCAGAAGTGGAGCTGGGAAGAGGGATGTGGGTGCAGGTGTATTTCCACTTTTCGCCAGCTCTGTCTTCCTTTTAGCTTACCAAGTACCTTCTGTCATTGCCTGCAGCAGATCTAGGGGGCTGGACCCCCAGCTTTCTAGGACCCTGTTCCTGCTGCTGCTATGTGTGGCCTCAAACCCCAACCCAGACGCCTGCCTTGTGGCCCAGTCGGGCAACGGCAGCTCCGTCTCCTGCCATCCACCTGCCACATTGCTTCACCACTTCCCCGCCGACACCTTCTACCTGGTGGTGGAGTTCTTCAACCTGACCCAGCTGCCAGCCAACGCCCTGCAGGGCATGTCTAACCTCCAGGAACTGCACCTCTCTAGCAACCGGCTGGAGAACCTTTCAGCCGGGTTTCTGCAGCCTGTGCCTCATCTGAAGGTGCTGGATCTCACCCGCAACGCCTTGGCCCGTCTGCCCCCGGGGCTCTTCCAGGCCTCTGCTGCCCTCCACACCCTGGTGCTGAAGGAAAATCGGCTGGACGTGCTGGAGACCTCCTGGCTGTCTGGTCTGAAAGCCTTGGGGCATCTGGACCTGTCTGGAAACCATCTCCGGACACTGCCCCCGGGGCTGCTGGCCAACTTCTCCGACCTGCGCATTCTCGACCTTGGCAACAACCAGCTGGAGACACTGCCCCCTGGCTTTCTCAAGGGTCCTCTGCGGTTGGACCGGCTACACCTGGAGGGCAACAGACTGCGGGCCCTGGGAGAGGACCTTCTGCTCCCCCAGCCAGACCTCCGCTACCTCTTCCTGAGTGACAACAAACTGGACGCTGTGGCGGCCGGGGCCTTCAGAGGCCTGCGGCAGCTGGACATGTTGGACCTCTCCAACAACTCGCTCACCAGCGTGCCCGAGGGACTCTGGGTATCCGTTGGGCAGCCTGCCCGAGACATGGTAGATGGCTTCGACCTCTCTGGGAACCCCTGGGTCTGTGACCGGAAGCTGGGTGACCTCTACAAGTGGCTCGTGGCCAATAAAGACAAGATGTTCTTCCGGAACAGCACACGCTGCGCTGGGCCTGAGGCTTGGAAGGGCCAGACGCTCCTGGCGGCAGCCGGGTCCCCCTGAGGCCCACGCTGGGGTGCAGGTGGGGAGGGGCTCCTGGCCCATTTAGCCAATAATGCCACTTTCCATACTTGCTGGGCTTTGGGTGCCCCTGGGTTTTTCTGAAATGCAGCTGGGCCCTTGGTCCAGCCCCCTCGCCTCTACTTGAGCAGGCAGGTGACCTCTTCAGAGCCCCTTTCCCGGATTCCCCCGCTCTCTTTGTCTCTGCGGCAGCCTCAGGCCCAGGGCTGGTCACGCTGGGCTTGTGTCTCTCTGGCCCTGTTTCCCCCAGTTTGGGGGTTTTCTGAGTGCAGGGTCTGGGGCTGAGTCACCTCTTTCCCAACATCACTCAGTTTGGAATCAGACCTAAGGGTTTAATAAATAACTGAGCAGAAATAGACAGGCTGGCATTCCTTTCCCATGTTCCTCAATCCCCCAAGCCAGCCTCCTGCGTCTCCAGGATGAAGCAAGAAAAAAGGGGAGCCACCCAGGGCCAGGGTGCACAACCTCAACCCCCAAGAGGATGGCGATCCCCGAGTCAGTCTCCTGCGTCTCCAGGATGAAGCAAGAAGAAAGGGGAGCCACCCAGGCCCAGGCACACAACCTGAACCCCCAAGAGGATGGCGATCGGCTTCTGAAGGCCTGTGGCTGCTCCCTGCCCCCTCCCTATGCGGGACTTAACTAGAAATAAAACCCTGACCATTGCCCAAGGTGTCATTTTACCGGTGGATTCCTGCCAGAGCTTGTGTCCTGGGGAAGGTTGAAATTAAAGCAGATTGCTTCAGATCTTCCAATTTGTCATGTTGGTTCACAGGGGGCAGCCAGTCAGGGCAAGCACGGGCAAGTCGGATGAACAGAGAGCTGATATCACGCTGGGCGAGGGGAGGCACTGTCAGTCATGGGGGGCTGGGGTGTCTTCAGCTCCCTGGAAGGAGGGTCATGTCCTCGCTGGTCCTCGTGAAAGTCAGAGACCTGGTGTCTGGCAGGCAGGGCTTGGCTCAGCTCCCTCAATCGCTATGGGGTAAATGGGCTGGCGTGTTAAGTCTCACCTTTCCCTTCTGCAAAATGGGGTATGGCCCCACCTCGTTCCTGGTTTAGCTCCGTGGTACATTTTAAAAAATAAAAAGAAAGGCTTTGGGGATTTGTCCAAGGTCACTCGGCCATGCCATGGGGACTATGATTGCAGTAAAGATGACAGGTGGCCGAACTTGGCCGTCCAAGTAATTCAAACCTTGGGCATCTAGGGGCCACAGGTTGCTATGGCAACTTCAGAGCGCTCTGGGTGCCCGGGGAAGGCCGAGGGGAGCTTGGGACCACGCCCCGGCCACGCCCCCTGACGGTCTCTTCCCATTGGTCGGTCCCCAGAGGCCACGCCTCCAGAGCCTCTATAAGGCACTGGCTGCAAGGAGGGGCGGAGACCGGAGACCGAGTCTGGGGTCTAAAGTGGCACCTGGCGGTCACGCTCCCCGTGCCTAGGTGAGTGCTGCTCCCTCAGCCTCGGGGTCCCCAGTGCGGATGGGTCTGATGAGTGTCCTGTGGTCTGGGGGCGGGGGGAGGGAAGTGACTGACGGGAGCAGGTGACTGAGACCCTTGGCCCAGTTGGCTGAAGCTCAGGACCCAGTTGGCTCGGAGGACGCAGGTTGGTACAGGGAGGGAGCTGCAGGCTGGGAGACTGAAGCCTGAGCTGGAGCTCCGACTGTCTCTGCCAAGCCGTGACCTTGGGCCCAGAATGGGCGGTTGTTGCCTCAGTTTCCCTGCCTGTCAGGTGTACCTGTGGATTTGTTGGAATCCCACAGCTTCCACCTCCACCCTTCCGGGGGCTGTTCTGTCCAGGGTGGGACAGCAGGGTCCTCCTCCACGTTGCAGAGAAGGGAGCAGCCCAGAGAGGTGAAGGGACCGCCCAGTCACACAGCAGTAATGCCGACACACAAACCGAGGTCTTTCTCTCACTAGAGCCCATGTTTTGAGTCACTTCAGTGCCTCCACCTTGCCACAGGCTCTTTAATATGCACCTACTGTGTACAGAGTCCTGGCATGGGCTGTCTGGCCCGCAAAGCATTCCCAGGTGAGTATTATCTTGCGGAGGCACAAGAGGGAATGAGACTTGCCCACATCACAAGGCCCAGCCAGACAGAGCCCAGGGCCTGGGCAGGAGCTGGGGCGCTGGCTCCTCCCGCTCACTCTCCTGCCCCCCAGCGTGGCCCTGTTCCAGCAAGCATGTCAGAAGCTGAGGAGGAGACTCAGGTCACCAGACCCAGCTCCTGGGAGCAAGACCAGCAGGTAGGGGGCTGCTCTATCTGTGGAGCAGGGGCGCAGAGAAGGTTGGGGGGGCAGCCCTTCCCGGGAGTGTCTGGCAGCAGGGGGGTTCCTCCTCCTGCCTCTACCCTTGCCGTAAACGTCTCACTCTGGGCATTTTGGACCATGGAGGGGGCGGCGCATCTTACTCATCTTCCAGAAGGGAAGCCGGGTGGGGAGCATCTCTCCAAGCACACCAGCTAGCTCACCCGCCCTGCCAGCTCCCCTACCACCGGGGCTCTCCCTGCACCCCCGTGTCCATCACGGACGGCAGTGTTAACAATGAACTGGTGTCAGCAAGCACGGGCCTCCTGCTTCACGGGCCGGCTCCTTGACGCAGCCCCAGCACCCCACTTGACAGATGGGCGTCAAGAACCCAAATGCAGTGAGCAGCCACCAGCTGGGGCCGCTCACCACGCTTTCCCCTGCCCCTGCCTGGCCTCTCGAGCCGGGGGAGCGGGCCGGGCGTGCTGAGCCCCAGCCTCTCCCGGGCCTCAGAGGCTGCCCTCCCTGCAGAGCGTGGTGCAGCGCGTGGCGGCGCTGCCCCTGGTCAGGACCACGTGTGCGGCCGTCTCGGACGTGTACAGCGCTGCCAAGGACAAGCACCCGCTGCTGGGCTCCGCCTGCCGCCTGGCCGAGCACTGCATGTGCGGCCTGACCACCCGGGCCCTGGACCACGCCCAGCCGCTGCTCAGCCACCTGCAGCCCCAGCGTGAGTGTTGCTGGTTCCGTGCCAGCCCATCCTCCAGTGCTCCGTTGCGTGGCGAGCTGTGGGCTGGGTCCCCGAGTTGGGAGCCCCCCGCCCCACCTCCGTGTGCCTTTGCTCTGCCGGCCTGCCCCCAACCCACCTGTGTCATCTTGGCCCAGCCCCCAAGGGCCACCCCTCCGTTCCTCATCTCCCGGGTCCCTGGAGCCACCTGGGTGGCTGTCCTTAGCTGTCCCTCATGGCCTCCATCCTTTGACCCCTTCAGTCTGTCTCGCTGTCCTCGGTTTGATGCTCCTCGGATACGTTTGTCTGCCCAAGCTCCCGCCCGATTGCCCCTCATCGCTGCCTCCACCTGCCCTGACCCCTGGTCACCCTGCATCCCTGTCACCATCTCAGGCACCCCACTGAGGGGTGGCAGGGACAGAAAGACCCTAGGCCCTGACTCAGGAAGGGTCCCTTGAGGGTCCCAACCTAGGGGTTCCCCTGCCTCCTGAGCTGGCTCGTGACCTTGAGTGCTTGCTGGGCTTCTGAGCTAAGTGTAGGTGAGGAGTCCCCTGGGTCCCAGCAGGGCAGAGGTGAGGAGAACGGAAGAAGCAGAGTCCAACCACGCTCTTGGGGTCCCCCATGTGGCCTGGGCCTCCCTCTATCTCTCCTCCCTCCTCCCTCTTCCTCTCTGGCTTTCCCCCTTCCTTCTTGTTCCTCTCGCTCCTCTCTCTCCCTCCCTCCTTTCCTCTTCTCACAGTGGCCACAGTGAATGACCTTGCCTGTAGAGGCCTGGACAAGCTGGAAGAGAAACTGCCCTTTCTCCAGCAACCTTCTGAAATGGTACTGGCCCGGCCTGCAAGGGTGTGGAGGTGGGAGCGAGGTGTGCGGGGACTTTGTTGGGCTTTTGTCAACTTGTAAAGCACCCATCAGACTAAAACAACAGGCACCCACATTAACTGAGCACTTACTACGTGCCAGCTGGTCATTCTTGCAACAACCCTGGGAGGCATTTGTAGGGGGGAAACTGAGGTCCAGAACAAAGAAGGGGTCAGGGATCTCTGACCCCCCACCCCCAGCAGCTGGGGGAGGCCAAGGGAGGCTGGCGGTGCCCAAATGCAGCTCCTCCATGCAGGTGGTGACCTCCGCCAAGGACGCGGTAGCCAGCAGCGTGACAGGTGTGGCAGGCCTGGCACGGCAGGGCCGCCGCTGGAGTGTGGAGCTAAAACGCTCCGTGTCTCACGCTGTGGACGTGGTGCTGGGCAAGTCGGAGGAGCTGGTGGACCACTTCCTGCCCATGACTGAGGATGAGCTCGGTGAGGCCAGCCCCCTCCCGCCTCAGCCCTGAATCTGCCTGCCCGGTCGCCATCCCCTGAGCAGAGAGGTCCGGTTCTCTCACCGGAGGCCACGCAGTGGTCAGCAGCAAACACGGGCCAGGCCGCCAGCCTGACCCCCCTGGCGTCACAGCCCCTCCCCCACATCCTGTAGAAGTCAGACCAGCAGCCCCCTGCGGCAGAAGGGGCTGGCTGACCAGGGGGTGCAGCTGTCAGCCTGGTGTATTTGGCCTCTGCAGCGCCTTTGAGGTGTTTTAAACCATCTGCAGACGTCGCCCTGCAGACCCTGATTCCTGGCTGCTCCCTCCAGCCCGTCAGGGGTCGGTGGGGCTCGTCCTGTCTGCGCGCTCTGTCCCACGGCCCGGGCCACCTGTGTTCACCCGGGCGTGGACACCTGCACATGCGCAGTCGGGGCTCCGGCCGGCTCCCTGGCCAGCGGGCTGCGCAGGCCGCACCGCCTAGGTTCCGGGCCGACACCACGCGGCGCGCACACACCACGCGCCTCACCGTGCACTCTCCAGCGAGGCCCCGGTGCTTGGCAAAGCGTGACTGTGCCCCCAGCACTGAAACATGGGGTGTCGCTAAAGTGCGCCACATGCCCCCCGCAACCCGGGTGATGACCCGCCTCCCCAGTGTGGGGGAGCGGCGGCCTGAGCCCCTGTCGCCTTGGGGTGCTCTGGGGCTTCCGCCTTTGGCCTCGGGCGTCCTCACCTGTGAAGTGGGACTGCTTCCATCACAGCTCTGGGGAAGGCTGTTAGAGTAGCGGAGAAAACCGCCCTTGGCCGCCTCGGGCTGCTCGCGCAGGCGTCCGGGTGTCCGCCGGCGGCGAGGGAGCCGCCCCCGACACGCTTTCCTGTCGTCTGTCTCCAGCGACGCTGGCGGCTGAAGCCGAGGGCCCGGAGGTGGGCTCCGTGGAAGAGCAGAGGAAACAGCAGGGCTACTTTGTGCGCCTGGGCTCCCTGTCGGCGCGGCTCCGGCACCGGGCCTATGAGCACTCGCTGGGGAAACTGAGGCAGAGGAAGCACCACGCCCAGGACACCATGGCCCAGCTGCAGGAGGCGCTGGAGCTGGTGAGCCACCGTGGCCCGCCCCAACACGTGACGCCAGCACCAGGCTGGACTGAGTGGCCCTGACCCCGAACTCTGGTGGGGGGCCCCCCAAGTGGGGTTTAGCAGCTTCCAGCTCTGACAGGGGGCGGCTGGGTCAAAGCTCAGCCTGAGGAGTCGGGAAGGGGAGTCTGTTGAGGAGGGGAAGTAGGAGCTGGGACTCTTTTTTTTTTTTAAGATTTATTTATTTATGCGTACACAACTGGGGTACAGGTCAGAGGTGCAGGTCAGAGGTGCAGGGGGTGAGAGGAGTCACCAGAGACAGAGCAGGGAGCAGAACAGGCAGATGAACGAAGTACACTGCTGAGGGGAGCAGCAGGCGGGTCAGGAGAGGTCTGCCGCGCCTGTGGGTCACTCCCTGGCTGGGGATCGAACTTGTCCTGGCAGTTGCGGCCAGCTGAGGTGGTTGCGGCCAGCTGAGGCGGTCAGCTTCCTAGTGCTGCATTTTAACCCGCTGCACCACCAGGGACGGCCTGGAGCTGGGACCGCAGTCAGGGAGGGGGTCAGTCAGAGGTGGCACCTCTCCCTGGCTCTGCCATCGCCAATCCCAGTCCTCTCCACTGTGAGGCCCAGCTCACACCCCCTACTGCCTGCTCACGCCCCCCCCCCCAACCCCGGGCAGCTCCGTTACTGAGCCCGATGAGTCCCGCAGCCCCCACCTATCCTCCCTGATCCCCACGTCCTACCTCACTGCCCTCCGTCCTTCTGGGAGCTCAGGCCCAATCCTGGGAACCATCCTAAGCTGCCTTCTGCCCTCCCCGCTGGACACCGGGCAGTGCGGTCAGCCCAGCCCTCAAAGTCTATTTTAAACCTGGCTCCCACCCGCGGGCCACGGTCGGTCCTTGCAGTGGCCACCAGAGGGCGCCTGTGAACACCCAGGGCTGGTCCTCCCTCTGCTGAAGTGCTGGGCGCCCAGTCTGCCATGGTCAAAACCCAGGTCCTCCACAGCCAGGCCCTGCTGACCTGAACCCCCTCCCGCCCCTCGCTGCCCTCCTCTCCCTCTTCTCCAAGTGCCTTCCTGCCCCCGGAGCTCGTGCGTGGACTGTGGCCTCTGCTCGACACACTTATAGTGCATTTGTTCACACAGTCGTGTGATGGGCCGGTTTTACGGTCCACTGTGTGTGCCCTGTGGACCTACAATCAGCCGTGAGGGCAGCGCCATCCTGCCATCTTCCCACAGCCGCGTCCGGGGCTGGCCGCGCCCCGCCCTGTGGCTCTGAGCAGAGCCGCCCCAGCAAGGGCTCGCAGGCCTCACTGGCAAGCGCTGAGTCAGAGCCCAGCGGAGCCCGAGCGGAGCCCTGTCCACCCAGGGGTGCTGAGCCCTCACGCGAGGCTGCGTGCCCGGTGCCTGCGGCCGTGTGAGCCGAAGAGCTGTGACACACTTGCGTAACCCAGCAGCTGAACCATTTTTAAGTCCACAGCTCCGAGGAGTTCAGCGCTGTGCAGCCACCCCGCCATCCCTCTCCAGAACTTTCTCATCCTCCCAAACTGAAGCCTACACACTAGCTGCCCTCCCCTCCCCCGCCCCTGGTGCCCCTCTCCTTCCTGTCCCCACGGCTGTGGCTCCTCAGGCCTCGCGGGAGCGGGCCACACGCTTGTCCTTTGGCTTATTTCACTGAGCGTCACGTGCTCAGGGCTGTGCTTGTTCAGACTGTCCTCCCCTCCATGCTGACTGATACGCCACATGACTGGGTCACAGTTCCCCTGTTCTGGGCACTGGAGGTACAGGGGACACTCGCAGTCCAGTAGGGGGCCGGAGTCATGCTGGGGACAGGTCGGGGACTGTGGGGCCCACAGGAGGGAACTTCTCAGCCCGGAAGGCAGGCAGGGAGGCTTCCTGGAGGAGGTGACATCTACATTAGTCTTCAATCGGTGTGGAGCAGGCAGGGGTGTAGGGTGGAGAGGAGATTGTACCTGGCTGAGGGTCAGCATGGACAAAGGCCCGGCTGTGAGTCAGAGCTTGCAGGGCACCGTAGGTCACAGGTCTCAGTGGGAGAGTGGACCAAGCAGGATCAGCAGGCGTGGAAGCTTGCACACAGGAGGTGTTCAGTAAATGCTCAGTGAGGCCAGATCCAGGCTGCAGCCAACTCCGGCCCCTCACCCCCAAACTCCCAGCCCTGGTAACCATTGCCTCCATCCCGCAGATCGACCTCATGCAGTGCGGGGTGACCCCTACTGCCCCGGCCCACCCAGGGAAGGTGCACGAGCTGTGGGAAGTATGGAGTCAGCGCCACCCCAAGAATGGCAGGAACCGCAGACAGGTAGAGGAGGTGCAGGATGGGGGAGGCCTGGGGCTAGCCCGGGGAGCCCACAGCTGTCTCAGGCTGACTCAGACCATGTGCTGCGGTCAGCTGCCGTGTCCTTGGGGGAGCGTCCTTGGGAGAAGTCGGGCCCACGGTGGCACCGAGGCAGAACGCCAGCCCCTGAGCAGATGGTCTTGCTCGTCAGGGAAGCTGAAGCAGGACCTTGGTCCAGCTGAGTGTCCGGGGGACGACCGAGGCCTGTCGGTAGCCTCATTGTAGGTCCACGGGGCAAACAGGCCAGGCACACTGGGTGTCCATAGACAAACAGGGGCCGGTCAGCGGTCCCGAGTGACCACAAGGAAAGGAAGGAAGCTGACCGGTCTGTTGTGTCTGTGGTAGAAACCGAGGCTGGGTGATGGTACCTGGGGAAACTGAGGCCTGGCGCCCTCCCTCTGCAGGCGGAGCTGGAGACGCTGGTGCTGTCCCGCAGCCTGATGCGGGAGCTGCAGAGCACTGTGGACGTGCTGGAGTCCAGCGTGCGGGGCTTGCCCCCCAGCGCCCAGGAGAAGGTGGCCGAGGTGCGGCGCAGTGTGGACGCCCTGCAGGTGGCCTTCGCTGACGCCCGCTGCTTCAGAGACGTGCCCGCGGCAGCTCTGGCGGAGGGCCGGGGCAGCATGGCCCGGGCCCACGTCTGCGTGGACGAGCTGCTGGAGCTGGTGGTGCAGGCCATGCCCCTGCCCTGGCTCGTCGGGCCCTTCTCGCCTGTCCTGGTGGAGCGGCCTGCGACACCCCCAAACCTAGCAGCCTTGGTGGATGAGGTGGTTGGAGGCCCAGACTCCCGCTGGGCACATCTGGACTGGCCAGCCCAGCAGAGAGCCTGGGAGGCCGAGCATGGGGGGGACAGGACGAGCCTTCCTGGGGACATTGCTGAGGAGGAGCCTGAACCCCCCCGCCCCAAGCACACCCTGATGCCAGAGCTGGACTTCTGACCACAGAGGGCCACCAGCAGAGCTGTCCTGCACCCCAGCTCTCTGAGCCCCCTAGCGGCAGTGTGTAAACAGCCCAGGCACTGAGCAGGGGGCTCGGCACTCTGCTTATCTGGAACCCTCCCCCATCTCTCCTTGGACTTACGGGGACCTGAACCCAAACTAGACCTGGCTATTTCAGAGCTGGGTTCATCTTTCTGGGGTCCTGTTCCCCTCCCACAAGACGCCGATCAGAACTTCCCCGAAACACGTTTGCCCACTGGTTCCTGAAAAGCGAGGACCCCTGCTGGGCTGCTTGTACATCTAGACTAAGGGTCCCCCAAGACACCTGACTCTACCAGTTGGGCTTGCTTTGTCGTTTGGGATTTTCTCCAAAATAAAGGTGCTTCGTACTGTCCAAAGGCCCGCGGACCCTGCTCCGGCCGGGGAGGGGCACAGCCGTGCCAACGGAATGGCACAGGCCAGGGTTCGGGCTCCGAAGCACGGCCGCTGCTCTGCCAGCCTGTCGTCCTGACCAGGTCTTCCCAGCGCTCACCCCGAGTTAAGCATCGCTTCTTCAGAGGTCACATTAGTATAAGTGAGCTCCGTGGACCTTGCAGGGAGTAGTAGCAGAAGGAGGAAGAAGCCGGACAGGGCAGCTCCCCCCACGTCCACCGAACTGCAGACGGGCCTTGCTGTGGTTTCTCCAGCCGTACTGGTCAGGATGGAGGACACAGAGGCAGGCAAAGGCCGTAGGCTGGTCTCACGGGAGCCCCTTGTCCTCTGACTACATTCTCGGCTACCCCTTAGCCTTGCTTGTGGCCACTCAGGGTGTTAAGAAACCACAGTCTGAAGTGATGAGGTCAGGATGGCCCCTGGCTTCTCTGGGACCCAGCCCAGGGGCAGCTCTGCCTACTGGCCACAGTCCCCTCCCTGCCCCCACTCAGGAAATTTATTTCTGTACCTCTGCTCCCTGTTGCCCTCAGACCAAACACCCAGGTTCTACACCCTGTGTTTAAGGGCTTCTGACTTTGAAGGACCCTCCACACCCACACCGCAGAGGGTGCCGTGACCTGTACACCATCCCCACCCTGGGCCTTCACTCAGACTGCGCCTAAAATGCCCTCTCACCCTCCCACCCTCAGACGCATCCATTATCCTCTAGTCCCAACACCAATGCCACCTCCTTCAGGAAGCCTTCCCTGACTACACCAGCAGGATACATCTGACCCCCTGCCACCAAGCCCAAGGCTCCAAGCCCTTTTCACTTGGCTTCCAGCTGTAGGCAACCTGGCCTTCTCTTCTCCCACCGTGCCAGAGCCTGGAGAGCCGGGCAAGGTGAGCGCGGCAGAGCCTCACAGGGGAAGGGCGTTTGGCAGAGGGACCGGCTCAGTCAAAAGCAAGGGAGAGGGCTGGGGTGGAGGAGAAGGAGGATGGACTGAGCTGTCCTGGCATCTGGGAGGAGCAGTGGTTATGTTTCTGGGCTTTGAATGCAGAGCTTGCCTACAACAGAGGAGAGTGACTTTCCCACTCTGAGCCCATTTTCGCTCCTGTGAAACGGGTCTAAAAGCCGTCAGGCAGTTGTACCACCCTAGAACACACTTCGCCCACGGAAGCTAGTTTTCATTTCATGAATATTTACGGAATGCCTACTGTGTGCCAAGCAGTTCCCTGCCTTGGGGACACAGCATCAGGCTAAACAGATGAAAACCTTTAAAAAAACAGATAAACCCTTCCCCTGTAGAACCTCATAATGCAGGAGAGACGGACAGCAGACAAGACACCGTCTTCGTGTTAGTAGATCCTGCGGAAACATAAAGGAAGGAGGATGGAGAGTGGAGAGCGCCCACTGAGGACAGCTGCGTGCTTATAGACAGGAGGAGGGGTCCGGGAAGGAGGTAAGGAGACCTTGAGGGAGGCGAGGAGTTAAAGAAAGAATATTCTAGGCAGAGGGCACAGCAGGTGCAAATGTCCTGGGGCAGGACCATGCCTGGCACGTGGCAGGAACAGCAAGGAGACCCCTGTGGTGGGGGCAGAGTGAGCTTGGGGAAGCGGAGCTCAGGGCGGGGAGCTGGGCTAGGCCACGCAGGACCTTGTGTGCGGAGAGAGGGCTTCGCCTTTCAGCCCGGGGAGGTGGGAGCCCTGAGGACTGTGGACAAAGGAGAGGGCCACCACACCGCCCGCTGTGCAGGCAGTCCTTGGGGAAAGGCGGGCTCGCCAAGGTTCTCCCCTCCTCCCACCACCTTTGGGAAGTGTTGACTGACTGAGAGAGGGGAGGTGGGGGGACCCCCCCACTTGTTCCTCAGCTGTTTGGCAAACACAGTGATGACTCCAAGGAAACAGCCTAGGGAGCATCAGGCCTAAGGTTGGACCCTCCCTCCTCCCAGATCAGCCAGCGGCTGGAACTGGGTCTACCCCACCCCCGCTGGCATGCGGCTGGAATCCTTGTTCCAGGGGCAGGCAGGGGGACTGTCCTGCCTCGGGGTCTCTCCTCCACTCATCTACACCCCCCACACAGCCAGCTGGCGCTCAGGTTCCAGGTCTGCCTCTTCCTCATCCTCTGGCTCGGGAAGCTTCTTCCGGGAAGCCTCCCTGGGTTGCCCGAAACCCTCCAGCTCTGGATCTCACTCCTAGGGTGCTCCAGCAATGTGGGTGTCCTGGCTGGGCGTGCCTTTCAGTCCTGTCTTGAGGAAAGCCCCCTCTGGAGAGTGTCTCCCTGCTGGGGGCACATCCACTTTTTTTTCCAGCTGGGACAAAGATAAGTTAGCATTTGTGGGTATCAGGCCCTGGGGCAAACATCACGTGCGTGACCTCATTCCTTGCTCACGCCGCCCTGTGAGTCGGCCCGCTTGCCCAAACACTAAGTGCTGACTGTTCTGTTGCAGGGAGCAAAGCAGGCCGAGCGAGGCAGAGGTGAGGAAGGGAGTGTGGGTGCCTGTGCAAAGTCCCTGAGGCTGATGACACCTGAGGACCTGGAGGGACAATCTGGGAAGCCCACGCAGCTGGAGTGGGGTGTTGGAGTAGAGAGGAGGGAGTGAGGGCAGAGAAGTGGGGTCTGGCGGTCAGCGGGGAGTCTGAAGAGAAACTGAGGCAGAGGGATGCTAGCTGGTTAAGGCGTCCCAGTAAAGTCAGAATTTGGAGTGTGTCCACCTCACAGGTGGACACCAGAAGCCGAGAGGACCGCTGGGCAGTGTCTCGGGGCACAGCATGGCCTGTGAACCAAACAGCCTGGCGGGGGTGGGTACCGTGGGCAGAGGTTGCCCATCCGGAGAGCAGGGGAAAGGTGCTGGGCCCAGGGCCCGAGCTGGGCCAGGCAGGCGGACACGTGACTGCCCAGGGCCCTCCCCCGCCGCTGGCCGCCTGCCTCGGCTGGCGAGGCTCTTGCCTGCCCCAGACCCTATAAGGCCTGGGAGCGAGAGCAGAGCCTCTGGCAGCTGCGCCACCATCTCTGAGGGACCCTCGCATGAGCCAGGAGTGTTAGGGTGAGACCAGGCCCCAGGTGGGTGTCGGGGGCGGCTCGAGCCGAGAAGGGGTCTGGGTGTGGGGTGAGAGCCCGGGGTCCCCATTCTCAAAGCCTCCGTTCCCTTCCAGCGGCGTGGAGTGTCACCATGTCTGCTCAAAAGGAAGGAAGCCGGAATCCCCCCAAGACGAAGGGCAAGGTAAAGAGAAGCGTGGGAGGGGGCTGCCCCTGCTGGAGCCTGGACCTCCCCCAGGACCTTGGGCAGGTGCCCTCCAGTGTCCGGGGTCCGGAGAGACTCGGGGAACCTCAGTGCCACGGCTCTCCCCTCCTTTCCTGAGCGGCAGGGTGGGGCGGGGTGGACTCCCCCAGAGTTCAGCGACTTCCGCCCTGTAGACTGGGCCAGGCACAGACCCGCTGCTGCCTCAGTTTCCCCACCTGTGAGATGGGGGCCATGGGGGGGAAAGGTCTTTGGAAACCTGGAAGATAACCCTCTCCTCCGCCCATGAACGGACGGCTGGCCCCTCCGGCTGGCCAGGGGAGGCCCCTGGGTGCCCCGCACCTCCCCGGGGCCAGGGGCTTCTCCCACCCCACCCTGCTGCACTCTGGCCCTGCTCACGCCACCGCCGCCCCCCCAGCTCAGCAGCTTCTTCGGGTCCCTGCCTGGCTTCAGTTCTGCACGGAACCTAGTGGCCAATGCCTACAACTCGGCGAAAGAGGCCCAGCCAGTGCCCGCCCCTGAGGCCGCCCAGCCCCGGGCTCAGGGTAAGTAAATGACCGTGTGTGCTGGAGTGGGGCTCTGGAGGTAGACCCCATTCAAGGAAACGCCCTAGCAGGGACTCTGGTCATTTTTAGGGTGCCTCCTCTATGCCTGCACCATCTCACTGACACCATCAGTCTGGCATGATCATTTAGCGCCAGGTGGGGAAACTGAGGCATGAAGATTTGCGGGAGCCCAAGCTAGCTAGGCAGCAGGAGTGGGGGTGTGAGCGCAGCTCATCTTCCTGCAATGCCCCCCCCAGTCGGATACCCCGTGATGGGGAGAGCAGGGGACACGGAGGGCTGCGGGGACTGAGTGCGCCTGAGGCTTACGATCCCGATGCCCTCGAGGGGCAGCAGCCTCCCTGGTGTCCTCTAGCCTGGGGGGCGCCCCACCCTGCAGTTGCCAAGCTGGGCAGTAGCCCTGGGCACCCAGAGAGGCAGGTGCAGAGAGCCAGGGTGGGGACCGCTGCCTGGGCTGGGCCTCGCTCTGGGCCTGGAGCCCAAGGCAGCTGACTTGTGCCCCACATACCTGCCTGGACTGGCAGGTGCCACTTCAGTGGGGCGGGGCGGGCAGGGCAGCTTGGGGGCTGCCCCCACCTCCCAGTCTGCGGGCGGGGGACGCCCTGTCGAGAGGTCCCGTCAGCCCCAGGACCCCCTCAGGCCCTGAATCCTCTCCCTGCGCCCCCCAAGGGGGCACCCGGTACTCAGGACCCCAGAGACTGTCCCTCACGCCCCACACCCCCCAGCCCGTATTCAGGGAACCAAGGAGGTGCCGGGGGGGCCCGCGGGGCTAGTAGCTAAAGCTGGCTGGGGGCTGTGGATGTCACCTCCCGCTGTCCCTGGCAGGGTGGCTGGGACATTCCTGACCTTTTGAGCAGTGCCCAGCAATTGCTCAATGGGCGCCAGGGCAGCTCATGCCAGCCTGAGTCCCTCGTCCTCTGTGGGGTGCCTGACTGATTCCTGTCCCTACAGTAGCCAGCGGCTGGGAGCAGACAGCCAGCGAGTCGGAGAAGCCGCCGCCTTCCGACAAGGTGAGAGGGGCTGGCAGAGTCCGGTGTGATGGCTCAGCCTGCGGCCCGGGGGAGGGGCCTCCCAGGCTGGCACTGCCAGCCGTCTGAGGGGTGGCGCAGGTCACGGACAGCGCGGATGCCAGAGCGGTGGCTGCTGTGGGAGCCCAGGAGGATCCTTGCCCTCTCGCCTCTGTTCTGACATCTGTGAAATGGGCTCCCAGCGTCCTCAAGGGCCCAAGCTCTGGCCCAGTCTCGCCACCAGGACGACAGTAACTCACAGGCCCGGGGCCAAGTTCTGATAAGTGCTGTGTGGCCGGCAATGCTCTAGGGCACAGAGGAGCCCACTGTAGCTAGGGCACGAGAAGCAGAGCCACCCGCGGGCACACGGTGGCGCCTGCAACTTGGGCAGCCAGACAGTGACAGTCACCAAAGCTAGATCCACCCTCCACCCCCATCACCATTACCATGTCCCAGAGACCTCATGGGGGAGACACTTAGGGCTCCTCTGGGCGGGCACTCATGGGGTGCAGACTCCTGGCACAGTGCTGCAGGCCCCTGGACTCATTTTCTCCACAGTCTTGAAGGAGGTGCAGCCGTAATGGCTTCATCACGAGGTTCAGAGAGGGGGTGGCTGGCCCGAGGTCACACAGCAAAGACAGGAAGGACCTGGGCCTCAAGCCCGGACTCTGCAGGCGGAGCCCGAGAATGCTGGCGATGAGGCGGGCCGGGACGGGCGGTGGCAGGCCGGGGAGGGCGGCGACAATAAAACGTCGGTGCTTCTCTGCTTCAGTGAAGTGGCCACCTGGGTCCGATCTTTGGTCCTTCTGGGGTTCACCCTGGGACTGTGAGGTGCAGAGAGCACCCTTGACCTTCACTTAGCAGACACCAGCAGCTCCCACACCCGCAGCTCGTGACAACCACAGACGTCCCTAGCCTTTGACAAGTGTCTGCCAATGAGACACACAGAATTAAACTGGCGCACTCCCTGGGGGGACCCGAGTGGTGACAAGTCTGAGCCGTCGCAGCCCTCTGGGGGTTCGGCTGAGCTAGAGGAAACTGCCCTTGACGGTAACGGACGATGCTTGGCGTTCTCAGGCATTTCTTAGGGCTGTTCCACTGACTGCTTCCTAGTGCGATTCTCCTCTCTGACTCGAATATTGTCGTTGTCCGCACTGTCCCTGGGAGACAAGCTCAAAATCGGCCGTAGCTGCAGGTCAGGCCGATGACAAGACACGCTGCCCGTGACTGTGCTGCGCAAGACGGGCTGGAGGAACCCAGAGGCTGGGCGAGCTCGGGAGGATCCCGTGGCCTGGGCCGGCTCGCCAGGGTGTCGCAGCAGGTCGGGGGACCACCCAGGGCTGCAGAAAGTGAGGGGATGACGTGAGGGTGATGTGCCCCCAGGTGAAGCTCTGTCTCCCCAAGGCAGCCAGGGGCCAGGGTGGCAGAAGACAGCTGAGGGTGCCCAGCTGTGCCCTGACACAGGCCCCCTTTCTCATCAGATGGCTTCGGGGACGAAGGACCTGCTGTGCCCCACGGCGACCACAACCGGGAACAGCTTCTCCTTTGGGGTGGCCAATGTGATGGACGCAGCTAAAGGCATGGTTCAAGGTGGGCTGGGCGTGACCCAGTCAGTGCTGGCCGGCACCAAGGAGATGGTGACCAGCGGGGTCACGGGTGCAGTGGGCGTGGCCACAGGAGCTGTTCAGACCAGTATGGACACCACCAGGAATGTCCTGGCTGGCACCAAGGACTCCGTGTGCAGTGGGGTGACCGGCGCCGTGAACGTGGCCAAAGGGGCCGTCCAGGGGGGCCTGGACACCACCAAGACTGTGGTCACGGGCACCAAGGACACGGTGTGCAGTGGGGTGACCGGTGCC